GGGTCTCTTTAGCTTAGAGAAGAGGAGACTGCGAGGTGACCTCATTCATGTTTATAAATATATAAAGGGCGAGTGTCAGGAGGGAGCCAGGCTCTGCTCTGTGATAGCCAAAGACAGAACAAGGGGCAGTGGGTGCAAACTGGAGCATAGGAGGTTCAACCTGAATATGAGGAAAAACTTTTTTACTGTGAGGGTGACAGAGCACTGGAACAGACTGCCCAGAGAGGTTGTGGAGTCTCCTTCTCTGGAGACATTCAAAACCCACCTGGACACGTTCATCTGCAACCTAGTTTAGGTGATCCTGCTCTGGCAGGGGGGTTGGACTGGATGATCTTTTGAGGTCCCTTCCAACTCCTAATATTCTGTGATTCTGTCAACTTCTATTGGCCGCAGAGAAGCTCTGCTCATATGCAGTAATTAAAAATAGCTTGATAACAGTACACAATGAAGAGGACCTATTGATTTGGAGAATATCCTTGGAGTATGAAATAATCTACAAAAAATGTGTGTGGGACAATTTGCAATGAAAGATTTATTGAGATGACAGTGGATAGGGCCAAACCCTGCTTGCTTTGTACCAACAAAAGCCTGTGTTCCATTAGGACGTGTTTCATCAATGGGATGATCGGGTTTATCTTCCAAAGTTGCCTTCCAAATTAAAATGCTTTGTATATTTAACTGCTTGTCTTCAGTCTTAAGCTGTCTTCAGCTTAGTGTTCACTGAGGCATGTTGCATGCTGGCCTGCAAACTTGCTATAGGTCTGGAGACAGATGTTGAGTGTTATGGTATCAGTCTGCTACTGTGGGATTTATGACAAGTACCCTTCATAGTCAGGAGTTTAATATTCATCTCTGATTGAAGTCCTCTGTCATCACATCTGATGAATACTTTGAGACTATAGAACTTTACCAAACTTCAGTTTCTCAGTTGGTCATTAGACCTGTGTGTGTGTGAGTGTGTGGAGGAAAATGCCAGTTCACGTAGCCCTGTGACGTAACAAATTTTTACTGCAAAAAGCACAGATGCCAAGTGAGGTGAAGGCCAGTCCAGAAGTGGCCATTTCATTCCAACTATTCAGTACTGACCAGGAAAGAAATTGGAGCTTTTTAATGGAGAAGTCCCTTGATCTTCAAACCGAGTGACTGATTTGGTTGGTGAAAGCCAAGGGGAATTATAGTGCCAGGATAAATTCTACATGAATCATCTGGAGACAGCTGGCTCTGTTAGAGTTAGATCAGGTACTGCAGGAAAGGGTTTCCTGTCTATTGAGGATGGGGCAGTGATAAACACACTTCTTTTTTTTTTTAATTTGGGTGACCCACTGCTGAAGTAAAGCCTAAACTTGCATTTTGATTGCAAAGCACTTATTTTCCAAGGGCTTTTATCTGCCCTTTTTATCTTTTGGTCTGAAATCTTTAAGGCAATGCATTTTGCATATTGTTCTTCATGAGAATGCTTTAAAATTATTAGCATTCCTTCTTGTCTGTATTCAGAAGATCAGAAAAAAGTAGTTAGTGGTTGGTTTACCCTATGATTCTATGAAACACACTATCCTGGATGTATGGTAGCATGCAAATGAGGATCCTTCTTGTTAATTATTTTCTGCAGATTATGAAATATGTGGAGATGATGGGCAGGGTGGATGGAGATAAATGGCATGATCCTTGCTTGCTTCTTGTACTGAAATTTAAGTGAAATTGCCTCTGTAGACTGTTAATAGCTGGAGAGAACGTAGGTATCTCATAAGAAGTCATTGCTACCTAAATTGTTGCAGAAGTGGCTAGCAGATGCAGGTGGTGGCTACCACTTCCCTCATCCCCCTCCTTTTTTTCTTTCCTGTAGAAGAGTTGAGTGAAGCACCATAATATTTGGTTTCTCTTTGTGCTGGTGAGTCTGTGGCTCAGTGAGAGAGCAGCCCATGGCACCGAGTCAAGGCAGGCAGGATGGCACTGAGGATTTTGGCCTTGGCCTTTAGCAGTGTGCGTGTTTGTACCAGCAATTGCTGCCTCTGTCATGCTTAGCAACAGGTGATGCTTCTGCTGAAATCATCAATAAAGAAACAGCTAACTCTGCTGGTTTACTTTCTGTCAAAGTCCCAGGTGATATAAACAAGAACTTTAAAGTTTTTTCATAGCTATTTTTGTTACTGCAGACTTGAGAAAACTGCATGAAATGGGAGCTGCTATTGTGAGGGGCTTTCTACCACTGTAAATGTATTTTCTCTCTCAAAAATCCCATTACGGATCATTCACCTGTATGAATAGATGCTAATGCATTGTGTGCCAAAATCTATCCTCTCTTGCTTCTTTTATGTTGGTTTCAAGGTGGTGCTAAGAATTAGACCATTTAAGTGAAGGGAGTGTGTCTGGTAAGGCAATAAACACAATGGAGCCACCAGTCTTTGGAGAACTATTTCATTTTATTATAGCTGCAAGGGGTGCTCATAAGTACTACCTGTTTGTCAGGAGTAACAAAAAGAGTTGCACAAAAATAAACTTTGCAAGATCAGAGGGATTTCTGGAGAATATAATGGTTTTAGTGGAGGTTAAAGTATGTGTTTCAATCCTTGATGGTTTCCAGAGGATATTTTTGAGCCTGTTAACTGATCTTGGCATGTTTCTTTTGCAGGAATGATTTTTAATGAAGAAGATCAGGAAGTGAGAGACTTGGGCTATCAGAAGCATGCTTTTAATATGCTCATCAGTAATCGGCTGGGATACCACAGGGAGGTGCCTGATACAAGAGATACAAAGTACGTACTGATTTTTTGAGAGAGCATGGTAGGACTTCATGAGCACAAGGACTTGTTACATTATATCTGATGTAGTATTTAATGTTTTTTTGGCATTAGGTTTGTCAGATACTCTTTAAGCTTCCTGTGTTGCTGGAGGCAGATTTTTCAGCTATTTAAGCAGGAGTGCTTGAGGTTAGGTTTTCTGTTCTTTGGTCTCTTCTGTCTTTTTTGACTGGATATTGTTTCTGGAGATCTAATTTTTGCCAGCTGGAAAAAGCATGTGATAGGTGAAGACCCGCAGAAACCAGGCTCCATGAAAAAAATGACAGACTGCTAGTCCCCAAAAGCAAAGTTTCTTCCTGATTCTTCATTCAGTTTAAGAATGCTTATTGAAGAACCAGATTGGATATACACTTCTTCAAAGTTTTATCATATTTAATTTTTGTGAGTAGTAGGATTGGTAAACAGCTACTTGATAGAAACAAGATTCAAAAAATAATTTCATATAATCATAAGTCAATGTGTAAAAGACCTAGGAATAAAACTTTCTTTCCAGCAATACTAAGATTACACATCCTGTGCCTCTTCCACCTTGCTAACTGTGTACTCAGCTACTTAAAGTATGCTACAATGTTTTTATTTTTTGAAGCTTCTTTTTGAGTTACTCAGTACTGTAACTACCAGAAGAGATGCTATAGTTCGGTTTGGTACCTTTGAAAGATGCCCATTAAACATTCCAGTGTGCAAGTTAATGAGAGACTTTCACCTTATGTACTATTTAACATTTGTTGTAAGCCTATAGAGGATAAGATAGAATGATTGATGACAGAGGCTCTGTGTCTCAGTTGAAGTCCGTGCTTGGATTGCACTGCTGTGAATACTTCCTAGTAAAATGTGTATTTTTTTCCTTATCTGTCTGATGCATTTGAGGGGAAAAAGCCCACTTCTGTAACAACAAAAAAAAAACCCCAACATTGAATTGAAAAATAAATAAAACTGCATCTGTTTTTCTAGTGGTTTCTCTGGTGTGGGTAAGTATAGTGAATTGTAGTTCCTGATATGTCTCTCCAAGAGCTAAGTTCATTCCAAGTCAATGAAAACCTTTTGAGTTTTCATTTATAGCTTCTTATTTTTATTGGATTCCCTCATGCCTAGCATCTTCAAATGGCATTAATCTGTGATACTGTGCCCTATTATAGAAGTATGGACAAAATCTGAAAAGGAGAAAGAACAAATGTTCTTCTGCTCAGCTTGTAGACTAAGATGCTTAAACTCAGCTGCATGTTAGTTGTCTCTGCTTTTATTATAATTAGCAGAGATTCAGTCAATGCAGTCAGTGGAGCACGCAAAGCTCGTCAGGTGACTAAATTCACTTGTCAGTCTTCGGGTGAGCTGAGCACTGCCTCTACTGGCAGCAGTGACTAGATTTAAATGTCTTAATCTGCAGGCTGAATTCCAACCTTTCTTATCTAGATAGGTATTTAGCACCATTGGAGGTATTCTGGGATATCCAACGTAGTCGCCAGCAGCTGGCCAATAAAGTTATGGGTTTTTTGTAGGCCTCATGTCATATTTGCTATTCCTGGACATGTCTGAGCTACCCCAGAGTTTTGTAGAGGCAGTGTTTTGACAGCTGAAACAAGCTCTTAGTGTGTCCTCTTTGTCTTGAGGATCTGTGATTCTCACTCTAAAGCAAATCCGTCGTATCCACTGTTTTCTAAGAAGTAGCAGTGTTAATTATAAGTCTGTATTATGTAGAGAGTAACTTATGCTGAGTCCTACTAGAGATGTAATATCCCTGAGCTCTTTATAGTCAAGTTAGGGGTTCCTTCTACACATTTCATGTTTGTTTGTCATTTATGAAGTTTCACTGGTGGCCTTGCCCTATGGAAATCCTCCTAAAAATAAAGGGATAACTACTGTATTTCTGTTTGCAGATGCAGAGAGAAGTCCTACCCTTCTGATCTGCCATCTGCCAGTGTTGTTATCTGTTTCTACAATGAAGCGCTTTCTGCCCTGCTTCGCACAGTACATAGTGTCCTGGATCGCACTCCTGCACACCTTCTCCATGAAATTATTTTGGTGGATGACAACAGTGAATTGGGTGAGAGAACCTTGGAGTAATATTTTGATTGGTGCTTAGACTTCTTGACATTCCAGTCTCTTTCTGTGCTTTATTGACTGGTCAAAATAAAAATGTGGAAGTCATGATGCAAAACTGATATGTACTGGTGTCCACCTCCAAAAAGTACCAGCCAGTACAGATGCATGATGTTCTGAGAAGCCCAAGCTGACATCTACTTTGGCACCAGTACTATTCCACTGATGAGCTTCGTATCATACAGACCTGGACATTCAAAAACAGGTTTTGAAGCTAATAATGAGGAGTCTGCCTTAGTGGAGGGCATGTTTAAGCAGTTGTCTATAGTTTAGCTGTTTTTAATGGTACCGTGCTCAGAGCAGATTACACTGATCTTCCTGTAAATTCTGTGGGCCAATAACAACTGTGAATGCATCTGAAATAAGTTGATGTGGCACTGTGGAAACAGTGCATCAGGTTTTTGTACTTGCTCTGCATGTCGTACAGGTGGCTGCTGGGATGAGAGCTCAGCCTGTGCTGGGAGGGCCTTGCATGGCTCTCGCACAGCCTCTAGTGGCCACCCTGGGAGTAGCTGTCCCTGGCTCTTGGAGCAGCTTCTACTCCCTTGGTCTGGGAGGAGCCCTAGAGGGATAAAACTTGCGGAATTGCTTTACTGTTTGATGAAAGATTAGTGCTTTGGCATTTTTCTCTCGAATGATGGACAAGGCAAAGACAGACACGCAATTCAAGCGTTTTGGCACTTCGAGAGTGAAACGCCTGTTGAGGAATGTGTTAATGTAGCAGTGCTTGCAAGCAAGACTGTACAAGTTCCCTGCTTGCCTCTGTAAAAGTCTAGAACTTTTTGCATTTTAAAAATTATTTTTAGATTATATTTTTTTAGTGCATATAATTAGCTCTCTTGGTCTCATAGTTTGGTTTCTGGGTTAAGGTCTGAGACTGATTAGAAATATATAATGTAGAATGAAATTATCTTGTTAGGCAGCTATTTTTTTTCTCTGAGGTCAGATCAAATGTTAAGATTCAGGAGAGAACAAAGTTCAGACACTCTGTCCCTTGCTGATGAGAATGCATAGTATTTAGAAGCTTATTTTGTATTTTGGAAGCAATACACACCCTTTGCTACAAAGGCTCTTGTGCAATTTGTTGTTTTCCAGTTTTGTAACCTTCATATTGAGAACTAACCTTGCTTCAAAACTTAGTCTTTTGAATACAGTGGTGCATTTGCTTGATTAGTGCCTGTGTTCAGGCAGTAATGCCATCACTCTTCTGGTCTGTTGCTAATTTGAAGGCCAAATTAGGTTCAAAACATTCGAGTAGCTACTTTTTTTTTTTAAATTGGGAAGTAAGGAAGTGCTTATCAGCAGGAGTGCTCCCTGTCAAGGCCCAGTCATATGGTCCAGCACTCTTTTCAGTGCAGGGTATGTACCTGTTCTCTCTGTGTGGGTCTTTACAATGCAGCAGGGAAAAGTGGAACAGTTAATAGGAAAAAGTGCAAATAAAACAACAAAAAAAAGGCCGCAGAAATTGGAGGGCAGTTGTAGGATGTGGGATGACTGACTGCCCTTCTGATACTCTTGGTTTGAAGCTGTGCTGTATTGGTTAGTTTTTTTGATCAAGTTTTTGTCCCTTTTTGAGTTGAACATCTTGGGACTTTAAACAGAGCTTTCACAGTTTCCATCCTGTTATTGAGCTTCTGTTTTCCTTTTCTCAGCTGACTTGAAGAAAGACTTGGGTGAATATGTTAAAACTCAGCTTCCAAAAGCCACAAAATTGGTAAGGAACGAGAAGCGGGAAGGCTTGATTCGAGGAAGAATGGTTGGAGCCTCTCATGCCACAGGTAGACTTTCTTCTTTCTCTTTTCATTGTATGCTTTGACCATATGTCCATTGGGTGACTTCTGTTTCTGTAGCGCAGCTCTTTCAGATGTTGAATGTTTGACCTGTGATTGCTTTAGCCTGCTGTAGGGGCTCTGCATGCCATCCTGTGTTCTAAGCTACACAACTGGGTGCAGGGAAAAAAAATTTGGGATAATGCTGTCTTACATGAGAGACATTTTAGCAGTTGTTCAGAATATCAGTGACTTTGAAATGAGTTAATTGCATTGATCTTTGGCTGTTATAATAACCTTTGTCACAACAGCTACACAAAGTATCTTCAGTGATAACTGGAGACCTTAACTAACATTGTCTATGCATTTAAATGTTTGCATCATGTCTGTTATCTTTATAAGGCTTTCTCCAGTATTTGCTCAGAGCTTTACTGAGTTAGTCCTCACCTGGGTTTTTTCTGTTACTCAGTGAGAAGGAAGCAAGGAGGATGTGGTACTTGCTTATATGTAAATATAGAGTAGATATACTCTAATCTGGCTTCTAATTCACCCATCTAATTTCTCATACAAGCTCTCCTGTTGTTTGCAGTAAGTGTTAATTGGAATAAACTATATTTGTTGCTTTATGTACACCAGGCACCTTTTGCCATAATATGCTTCTTGGTTAAATTTTTTGGCATCTGAGAAATTATGTGCTACTTCTGCAAATAGTTTTGAGTGGTAGGTAGTTTCATAATTGGTGTTTATTTATTAGCATTGTAATGGCATAATCCAGAGAGAAAATTGTGCTTGCACTTTCCAAGCTGTGCTAGGATTCATTTGAGTCAGTGCAATTTTTAGTTGTTTTATTACTTTTCGGCTGGAATCTGTTGTTTTGGTTTGCTCCCCCCCCATTCAAATACTGTCTGTTGTTAATGGGTGACTCCTTGTATTTCTGTGTTTCTAAGTTGTTTTCTTTAAAACTCTAAAAAAATCTTCCACATTATTCTAGTGTTACATAAATTTTATGTTGTCATAACATTTCAGATGACTTTTTAGACCAACTGAGCCTGAAGGTCTCATGGATCAAACTGTCCCCTCTGACCATGGCAGATAATCCCCGTATAAACTGATGGGACTGAAGTATTACTAGGTCTAATACTGGTGGATTTGGCTATGTCCATTTAGGGCATTCACTCTGCTTTTAAACTGGTATGAATCCACAATCAGTGTAGAGCTAATGAAATGGGGAGATGCTCTATGTTACTTTATATTCAGGAATTGAAATGCTGTGGCCTATGTCATGGATGAATGCAGATTAATTCATCAGAATGGCTTGGTTTAAATCCACAGATCTTCGCTGCAGAAGCAGTTGGATGGATGCTGAAGTGAATTGGATGGATGTGATACGAAGTGAGACCAAGGCGATTGCAGTCAGTGAACAAAAACAGCTTTATAGGATCACAGAATGTATTGGGTTGGAAGGGACCTTTAAAGATCATCTAGTCCTACCCCTCTGCAGTAGGCAGGGACATTTTTTTTATTGTGTGGATAATTCATTCAGCCCAATATTTGTTGCCTTGGCTATCTCTGTAGTCTGACTTGGGCATGGGAGGTGTCAATGCTCTGCCTGGTGTGATGATGCTTCATTTAAAATCTAGTAACTGCTGAATCTGGGTAGAACATTTGATAACCATAAAACCCTGTCAAATAAATTCAAATAATGGCCCGCTTGAGGAATTCGTAGCTAAATGTGAATGGCCAGGATCTGCCTTCTGCCTTTGTGACTCCCTGTGGAGTCTCTGGTTTGTCAATGCTTCTGAGTGCAGATGGTGTTTCCCCTCTGTTACACAGGGCGGTGAGAACACTGCTGATACTCTGCTGCTGATATAACTCTATGTGTTTGTGTTTCATGTTACCATGGATCTTTGTGTTTTGTGTGCTTTGACCTCTGCAGGGCAAGTGCTGGTGTTCCTGGACAGTCACTGTGAGGTGAATGAGATGTGGTTGCAACCTCTGCTGACGCCCATCAAAGAAGATCGCAGGACTGTGGTGTGCCCTGTGATTGACATAATCAGTGCTGACACCCTTACCTACAGCTCTTCCCCAGTTGTGCGTGGAGGGTTTAACTGGGGCCTGCACTTTAAGTGGGATCTTGTTCCCTTGTCAGAACTGGAAGGACCTGAGGGAGCCACTGCTCCAATCAAGTAAGGTTCTGCCTATGTGATTGTGAAGCTCTGTGTGGCACATGGATGATCAGAAGTGCTCTTAAACATTATGGAGTGTATCTGGGTATACTGTTTTAGAAGCAGATACCTAACCTGTCAAATATCTGACCTGTTTCGTTTTACTTAAAAATAGTTTTGGTTACTATTACCTATTCCAGTTTAATTTGTCACATTTAATAATGGATTAGATACATCTGTCTTATTAGGTCAAGAAAGCACACTTCTAGAGAATGCTTATACAACAGCAGCTTTTGCTACAAAAGTCTTAAGGACCTTATGCTATTCTGTATTAAATCTGTCCAATAATTTGCCTTTAGAGCTATGCATTGATGTTTGTTTCCAGTCTGTTAATGTGTTTGGCTTAATGATGATTTTGATAAACGCCTTTGTGTTAGTAATAGCCTGCATATCCCACTGATACAGGCTCTATGGTTTGTGATGAAATGCTAAAGAATTGCTAGATTGGGCAAGTGTGTTTTTGTGGAAATGAGAAATGTGGAAATGGGAAACCTCCTAGCTGGTGGGAAGGAACATCAGAGCATATGATAATTTTCTATGTCAATATCATTTTTTTTTTGCTTTAGATTTCATTTATATTTTTCCTCAAACAAGCAATTATTTTGTCATAAACCTTCCTAAATGAACAGACATGGATGTGAAAAGCCTCTTTAAAATATTACTTGTCTCTTTGCACAATGTGGCAAATGCTTCAAACTGTCTGTTGGAAGCCTGTCTGTATTGTTCTTGTGGTCTGAATTGCTTGAGAGTTGGTAAAGCTTAATTACTAGGACTAGAAAATTACCTTCCTTATTCTTTTAACCATTGATAGCTGTCTTGCCTGTACAGATCTAGCAGTATCTGTCCCTATTGGACATGTAACTATTACAACATGATATCAGTAGACACCTTATGTAGTAGAAGACACACACGGTTCAGTCGTGAGAATAGAAGCTGTCCCTGTGTGAATCCCTCCATGAGAAGGGCTGGTGCTGGGAGAGCAATGGCAAGAAGTTGATGTGGCTTTTTCTAGAAGCAGGTATCCATCTCGGTACAGAATTCAGGTTTGTAATGTGGAATCATTTTACTTTTTTTACAAGCTGACTCATTGCAGTGGTACTTTTATAAGATTTGCCAAGTGAATCAGAAGTTGGGCAGTCTCAACTCTCCTCCATTCTCATTTCTTGGAGTGTAAATGCAGAGTGTTTCAGGCTGATGCAAGACTCTCTGCTGTGGCCTTACAGCTCTCTGCGGAGTCTCTACTGTCACAAAATTTGGTCTGAGAAGCCAGGAAACTTGTTAAGTTACTTAACAGTTTGCCTGGCTTGTTTGGAAGGTGTCGCTGTGGCACTTTCTGAAGCTAAAAGGGAAAGGACAGACTGGGAAAATTTGAATGGGAACCAGCATAGACCTTCCTAAAATCCTTCCTCTGTTAAGAACTGTTCTCACAGATAATCTGGGGCATGCTTGAAGGTTACTTCTTGCTGTGTTCAATGCTGTTGTTGCATTCCTTCAACTCACTTTTAGGAAGATCTCCCATGGAAAAGGCAGAGAACTTTAAAGGGAGTCTAATAACCTAAAAAAATTACATCTTCTGAGTATGAAAGTGACTTTTACTTCTTAGAGGTCTCTGCCTGCTTTGAAAAAGAGGATCTTTTTAATCTTTTTTAATTGCTATTTAACCTTTAAAAATTATTTTCAATCAAATGAAAAGTCTTAATGTTTTGTGCTTTAGAGACCTTCATAATGAAATATTTTGGTGTTGGGGATGGCAAACCTGAGAGCAACGCTTTTAACCCAAGTTTTAAAACTGTAGTAGAAAAATGTGTGAGAACAAGAAATGAAATCCAGAGTTAGGCCTGGTTTCATCACAGGTTTTTATTAACAAGGATGAGAAGAAGCCTGGTCCCAGCCCACTGTGTGTTCTAACTATCTTACCATATTTATGTAGTGTTTTTACTCTCTTTTGTGCTCTTCTAGAGTATCCACGTATTAAAACATTGTGATACAGTAGCAATTCAATCTAGAGACTCTATAGTAAGGATCATATGTATAGATTTTTACAAAATAGAGCACCATTCTAGTAATGCACAGGCAAGGCAAAAAAACTGGGAAACCCTGAAGAGAACATGAATGCAAATATAAAAACTGTAAATAACTTACCAATATTCTGATCATTGCATCGATGATGAAACAATGCTGCTCCTGGTACTTAAATTCCATCTCTGAGACATAGCAGCTTTTCTTTTAGCAACCTTTTGACTCGTATAGTTTAAATTTGGACCTTGTTTCTTGATTTAATTTACTATGGGAAAGCAATGTATACACTGACTTCTGTTCCTTCTGCAGTTCGGTCAAGCCTGGTCTGTATGATTTGCCCCTGTAAGAGGGGGAAGAACACGTTACTGTGTGCAAGTGTACAAGTTTGTAACTGTAGGGGAAATAACTTCTGGTAAAGTCAGATCTAATGAAAGGCAGCTCCTGAGTTTCACTGTAGAAAACCTGATGGACTCCAAACTCGCACAGGTTTTTCTTGTTTTTTCTGTAGAGAGACAGCCACTTTCTTGCCTTTTCCCTGTCCTATCCCTTTTCCTCAAGTTTTCTATAGAAATACATTTTGGAATAATGAAAGATCACGAATACCAATTACAGATTTACTTTTGAAAATGTTTTGAGGCTTGAAGTGTGATCTGATGATTTCTAATGTCTGCAGGATTTAAATTGTATTATGTAGTTCTACATTTAAGCTTTGGGACTAGCCAATTCAGCTAAAATTACTGGTTTTTTTTCCTCTAAAAGAAACTTAACTTCTTTCAATATTCATTTTTAGGTCACCTACTATGGCTGGAGGCCTGTTTGCCATGGATCGCGAGTACTTTAATGAACTTGGACAGTATGACAGTGGCATGGACATCTGGGGAGGAGAAAATCTGGAAATATCTTTTCGGGTAATCTAGCCTTTCTGTGTATTGGAGTATGAACCTCAGTGTCTGGCTGCTTCTCTTCCCTGTGAACAATTTATTTAGCACTGGAATAGCTATTTGCACACAGAAATTGGCACTTTTGTTCCCAGGAAGGATGCCTTCAGTAACTGCATTTAATGGGAAGATGGCTTTAAAGGGGTATGTACTAAATAAATAAAATCTTTCAAATTTTCAGTACAAAATATAATTATTAGATATCTCAGTAGAGGAGTATGGAGTGTGAGGAAATCACTGTTGTTACTGTGTAATACACAGTTTCAATAAAAAGGGCTTTGAAAAATTGGAGCATATTCAGAGAACTTTATAAGGTCTGGAAGCCCCCTCTCCTTGGGGGAGAATTGTGAAGAACTTTAGACTTTATCTCATCCAGGAGGGGTTTAAAAGTGTCTTGATTATAAACTGCTAATGTGAGAAGATTTTTTCTGAGATTGAAAAACTTGTCAGTCCAACAGAGGGCCAGTGATGATCATTTGCTGGAAGCTACATTTTAAAAAGAAATTAAAAATAAATGCAAGTAGAGTGTAAATGAAATCTGTATCAAGGATCCAGTTGAAGCTGAATTGAGGCACCTAAATGTAGTATCTGAATGTGAATAGTATTTCTGAGTTCCCATATACTTCAATAAAGAGCTGTGTAGAAAAGCTGAAAAACTCTACAGGAGCGCTTGATGATATTGACTGCTCTGTACTATCTGTCAAAAGTGTGGGCAGGTAATTCTCATGTAGGCAAATAAATTTAGATATCTTAATCTGCAAGTTGAATCCCAGCCCACATATTTCAGTGGTTTTTAATAGGTCATTAAGGCATAAAATTTTAGAAAATTTACCATTTGTTCTTTGAAAGCCATGATGTCTTATGTGAAAAGTATGATGATATGAGAAAAAAGTCTTTTCTAACCTGAAGATTTATTAATGTTACTTGCCAGAAAGCATGGCATGTGGGACAGCACTGCTGACACCTAATTTTGTCATCACTACCAAAGTATCCCCTGAAGAAGGGAAGGAGATAGTGACCTTGTCAGTGTATGTACAATGAGGTGTGTTCTGGTTTGTGTGGACAGATCTGGATGTGTGGTGGCAGACTTCTGATCATCCCCTGCTCCCGGGTGGGACACATCTTCCGTAAGAGGCGTCCCTATGGCTCTCCAGGGGGACAGGACACTATGGCTCACAACTCGCTGAGGCTGGCACACGTGTGGATGGATGAATATAAGGTATGAGTCCATTCTAGGTCATGAAATAATGTTATTAACTGGCTTGTTTGTCTAAGGACTGTGTCACAGTGGAGTCTGTTAGCATCTCTGGTGTCTGTCTTCTGTAGTTGATTTCCCAGTGTTAATTTTGATATGAATTCTTGAATTCTGTAAAATTGTCATTTGGCTTTTGAGTGCTCACGTCTCCTCCCTATTACTTCTGCTGGCTGCAGAAGTTTCAGTTTTCTGCCTTTTTAATGAATTAAAAGATGACAAATGAGTTCTTGTAAGTGCTGCATTGCTTTATGTCCAAATCGGCATTACTACTGCTATATGCCTTCAGGTAGTTTCCAAGTTGGTGAGACAGGGATTTTGTTGGTTACTTGCTTTCTGTTTTAATTAGGAGTCTGATTTTTTTGTCTGTGTAGCCCTAGCAGATCAATCAGGATTGACTTGTGGATTCAAGGGCAAGCCTATTCCTTCTTTGTCTTCAGATCTTGGTGCTGATGGTTTTAAATGTACATCAGATTTTCGTGAAGCATTGATCTCTGTGACACTTGAGAACATTTTGCCTTGAGACTGTGGGATTTGCTGCATGGCCAGCTCCTGTGGTCCCTACAATTTCTGTACAAGACAGATTTTATTAACTCTATATTCTGTAGATGTTTATGTTTCAAACCCCATCCTTTATCTTGATGTTCTTTCAGTTTGAGGAACCTAGTAGGGGTCATTAACTTTTATCTCCATTCTCCATCTTAATAATGCATTGGTAGATTTGATCTATCGCTTTCCCTTTTATTGGTGTCTGGGCACAGTTGTTGTGTGATTAATGATGGCTTTCCTTGAAGCTTGGAATCGATTCTTTGTTATAATTTCCAGCTAATATGGCTTTGTCCAACAAGGACTTAAACTGCTGATTCTAGCAGTCTCTTATCACAGACTTGTCCTGAACTTTTCCAGCTGTTTCTAATTTGTTTCTCTCATAGTTGCCAGAGACTGTCATTATGACAGATGTACGCATGAAAGGCAAGCCTGGAAATATTTTTGTTTTTATAAGTGTAATGCAAATATTTAGGGCCAGTATCATTTGCTGAAGTGTTTGTATGATGTACAAAGATAAGACTGAAAGGACCTGTTTTGCGGCAAAGAGCAAATATGAATATTTAGTAAATATAACTGCATAATGGAAAGGAAAAGCAAAATTTTCATAGCTATCAAAAGCAAAATGTAAAAGTAGTAAGTTCATGTATGAAATGGAAATAAATAATGCAGAAAAGGTAGGATACTAACATTTGAACTAAAATTGGGACAGCAGAACTGCTTTTTTGAAGTAAATGAATTTCTTATAGTGATGTTCAGTCTGTCTCCAGTGTCCAACAGTCCAGTGTACTTAATGCTTCCTCTTCCTCTGCTGTTACAATAGCAGTGATACATCAATTGGATCAAAATGTTTAAAGATGTTGATAAGGATGTGTAATTTGTTGTGAGATGACGCTGTCATCTGTATGTCAGAGACAGCAGTAGGTAATTGGAAACTCAGAACCACAGTATGGTAAGTAAATTCCAGATGTTTGCTGGAGGTTAATCCAACAAAATCCCATAGCTCAGTTCCCTGAAAACTGATTTCTGAATGTCTAGTAAAAGATCTAATGTGCACATACAATGCCTTTTCTATGAGCTCTGTAAATCTAGCTGGAACTAAAGACTCTACAAGGGGATTTTTCTTTTAGTTATGGTAAGAGTATTCATGCCACACTCATGAACTCCTGTTTGTCCCTGTTGTCTCTGCATTAGAGTTGAACAGCACAAGAAGATTCAGCTGCAATCTTAATCTGTCCTTGCCCAACTAGGTACAATTCAGAGTATAATCATAAATTAGAACATGAAAAAATAACATAGCGGGAGCCTTTCCAGAGATGGTGCAGATGAATGGAAAAAAACCTGGGCCTCACAGAAATCAAAGCCCAGGTGACGGTTCTGATTCTTCATGTGAATAAATGCATGGTTCTGCTGAACTTCACCAGATAGTCCCATTTATAGCTGTTCTGATAGGGATTTTCTTTTTTTCCTGGTATCTTGTGAAGTTGAAAGGCTGGAAATTGTGGAAGATAAAATAATACGTTTGAACCCCACAACAATGAAAACAAACTAATTTGAAGAAACTTATGGCCAGATGAGAGTGATCATGATACATATATGTATGTGTGTGTGTATATATATATATATATATCTGTTTCTGACCTAATGACTCTAGGATGCCTTTATTGCCAATGGAGTGTAGGGCTGATTTGCTTCCTCTTGAAGTTGGCATCTAAGAAAGGTCAGCAGATTCATGCCTGAGAAATGTCTTCATCAAAAAAACCCAACAGTCTAGAAAAATTAGCTTGGAGTTAGGCAAGTTAAATCTCACCTCCTTTGACAACCTAAACACTGGATGCCAGGTTCAGACTTAATGGTTGAAAGCACTGGCAAAATGAAATGAAACTTTGAGACTTCTGCAAATAGGAATAAGTTGGAAATCAATAATCTGAAATTCTTGTCTTCACCTTGTCCCCAACCTGTTTCTCTTCAATACAGGAGCAGTATTTTGCATTGAGACCTGAGCTAAGGATGAGGAACTATGGAAATATCACCGACCGTGTAGAATTGAGAAAAAGATTGAACTGCAAGTCATTCAAGTGGTATTTAGATAATATCTATCCTGAGATGCAAATATCTGGGCCCAATGCCAAAGCTCCGCAGCCAGTTTTCATTAATAGAGCACAGAAACGACCGAAAATAATCCAGCGTGGAAGGGTAAGAGAAACTTTCTTAAAAATACAGTATTTTGGTTTTTTAATTTATTTTTTTAATTTTGAAATTCTTTTTCAGGAAGATTTACTCAAATACAAGAAAAACAGTCTGTTTTCAGAGAGCATAGAGTTCTAGTTTTGCAAGAAGCTGTCTTGAAAATAACAGAATTTGTCTTTAGACAAAGGCAAATCTGTTTCACTCTGATCTGTATTTCAGGTCATCCTCAGAATAGGTACTATTCAATGAATTTCTTACCTCAAAGCTCTGAGTTATGAAGTTTTGATGTCTTTAGAAAGCACTTTCATGGCTGTTGGTTCTGAAGATTAATTTGGACAGAGAGAAATTTGCCCTCAAATATTCATGCTCTGTTGGTTTCTGATAAGAGTACAATGTAGTTAGTTTCCAAAGTCATTGCTTTTACTGGATAATTTTCTGCAAAGGTGAACTTTTGCATCTGAGACTGATGATAGCTTTTCTAGTCTTGACTGTTAGATAATGAACAAAAAATGAGCTTTGCTCCTTTTTTCTTCAAAGTGGAAGTGAAGAGATATATTTTTACATCTATTCATGAAGAAAACCATGATTAAATTTGTGTCTTAGCTCTGACAACTATGTTTATAGGTTTGTATAGAGGCAAGGCCAGCATCCAGTTGTATCTGTTCTCTCCGCGACCGAATTAATCTGATGTGTGGTTTTTACACTTCCCAAAAATAATGGATAACTTCAAACCTGAGACAACTTTCTCAAGTTGTTTGTTCTCTTGCAATAAACTATTTCATATGCACATGGATTATGGTTAGCAGATTCCCTTCTGGCTCCATAATTGGGAGCATGAAGTAGCAATGTAGCCCTTGCCATGGTAGCACATCTGCAGTAGCTGTTGACTGTTGTTGGTGCTGCAAGTAGGTTCAGGCTGGAGGCCCTGAGTTCCTGCAGAATCTGTTGACATCATGACACCACTTTTGGTGTACACCAAACACCATCTTTGCTTGTAAGCAGCTATCTCTGAATCTACAACTTGTGCACTGTTTTTTATAGCTGTATCCTAGCCAAGCTGTAAAGTTATTTATGAGGGCAAATGAGTAGTTTCCCTGAATAAAACTGATACAATGGGCTGATTCCCCTAGTTGTTAAACGCTGTTATTCCCCATGTCAGGCTTTTTTTTCCATTAAATTTAATAGCTTTCTGCTTTCCTTCAGACAGAAGTTTAACTAAGGAATTGCTGATATGGGGAGGCTACTGAGGATCTGAATCCCTTAACAACACTTAAGGGGAACTCTTCCGAGCAATAATTTCCCATGGTTTGATGTGGAGAAAAACATTGTGCACCCTTTAAGAAGAGAGAGACAAGACATGGAAAAATCCATTTCTCTGGCTTGGTTCTCTGAGCTTCAAGATTATACCCAGCATTGTGTGAGAGACTCAGCTTTGGCTCTGATGATTGTATAAACTATTTCCAGATGCCTACAAGGAACAGAACGATCAGCCAATGTCACCACTGTGTGCCAGACTCTTTAGGATTTGGGATGAATCGCTCCAAATCCCAGCTTATTCTGAAAAACTAATTGGACCAGAGATAAGTGCTGGTTTGACAGCTGGGGAGATCTGTAATGATCACAAATGGTGACAGTTCGTAACAGTGTTATCAACTGCTCATCATCGTGGCCAATAAAAACAAGGAGAAAAGCCATATAAAACTCGTGTAGCTGTATGGTTTGAAAGCCTTCTGTTGAGTGAGGAATGACGAAAATGAGACCTCTCCTAGAAGTCTCTGGGGTGTGGGGAAATGTTACTTAGAAGATTTTGTGTAATTTGTTTCAGATGTGTGTAGGAAACAGGAGAAGGAGGCGGCTGTTGATGTGCCTTGGGACAGCTATTTCCAGAAATGGTGTTTAGTGAAGAACATGATTTGGTATTTGTGCTCTCTAATTTTTGCTATCATGTGGTAGAGCAGTTCGTTCTTTTTGTTACTGGAAGAGTCGTCTTGATTTCTAAAAATCTGTAGAATCACTACAGGCACCAAGACAGCTATTTGTCTTCACAATAAAATGCAGCTAGCTATTTAATTCTGGAGTCCAGGACAGCAAATTCTCTTTTCCTCTACATTCAGCTCCAGATTGGAAATAATTATTTTTAACGTGGATGCCAGATCTGAGGCCCTGCCAGCTCCCACACATGCACACACCCAGTGACTGTCAAATGCACTTCTCTGTGCTTGGTAGAACATTGGGCTCTTTGCTGCGAGGAGGGAAATGTCAGAGCTGTGGCCATTGCCAGAGTAACTGCCTAGTTGACAACCTGATCCTCAAGCTCTGCAGAAAAGCTCTTGGGTGAATTTTAGGGTGGGTATCATTGCCCAAATCATGAGAGAGATTTCTAACTTGTTGAGAATCTGCTTGCTTGCTTTGATGGTAGATTCTTCCAGGGTCCTGACCTGAATGTAGTCCTCTGGTACAACATTACTCCAGATCAGACTGGGTAGTGCATTTGAACTGGAATGAGCATTTGGGTGGGTGTTTGTAAAGCCCTTCCCTTCTTCCTGATTTGTCGTTAAAATAACAACTGATAACTGCAGCTTTTCAGTTACCTAAATGCTCTTGAAAATCAATTTGCAAACAACGCAAGTCTCTGAAGTTGTATTTAAGTAATTCCTTTTCCTTTCTCAAAGAGGCAGTCCTGCCTCATGAAGAGAACCTGTAGGAGGAGTCTTATGTTTAAGCTAAACTGTACTAAAATGTAGTTTATATTCTTGAGCTAGTGAGTATCTGAGACCTGAGACTTTCATGGTGCGTGAAGAGGAGGAAAATTTGACTGAGTATGGCCAATGTCTGCTGAACCATGTTGTTTGTACTGCACTTGTACTGTAAAGAGGGAAATCTTGATGTAATTAGAAAGCAAAATGAAACTACTTAATATTTTTTCTTCCTCCAAATTATTTGAAAAACAAAATTGTATTTTAGAAGGGAAAAATTATTTTTTATTATTGGGACTAGTGTTTTTTTTGTTTGGTTGTGGGGTTTTTTTTGTGGGCACACTGAGTTTTAGGGCTTCCAAAGCATTGCCATATGTTCCTTTTGATGTGTGGTGTTTGTTGTTTACTCTGTCCATCCAACTGTTTTCCTTTCATAGTTGTATCACCTTCAAACCAACAAATGCCTGGTTGCCCAGGGTCACCCAAGTCAGAAAGGAGGCCTGGTCGTGGTTCGGGACTGTGACTACAATGATCAAAACCAGGTATGATATTCCTAATTGTACTGAATAGCAATTCACATCTTACTAATTACTAATATGTTTTCCTGCTGGCAAAACGCCCTGGTGTAACATCTCATCAGCAAGCAGGTGGATTTCAGAGCACTGTTCCAACTGCAAGACTGGCTAAGGAAACTGGAGCTTACTGTTCTGCACCTACTAATGCTGAGCATAGGGTGTTGTAATCTCCTATCTTTCTGGCATGGATCTCAGCATGTGGCTGAAGACTCTCCCTAAGTGGCTCCTGACAGGTTAATAATAACAGATTGACACTTCAGACTCTGTTGAAGCTCTTTCAGTCAGTTCCTTATACCAGGATTCAAGGCAGCCTTTTCCTGGCCTGCTGGTCTTGGTGGACTGTACAACTAGTCCTCTGCTGCTGGACAGGCTGTAGTTTGGGGTGGATTAATGGTATGTTGTTATCTTTAAACCAAAAGAATTACAAGGAATTTAGAAAAATCCTTGGCTATAGGTGAGGATTGATTGGGGGTGAATTTGAAAACCTAATGAGATCTTTTTATATTACTACTTGAAGTCTTTGCTATTCCACTTCTTTCAGGCAACAGAAATTCAGGACTTGGATAAACAATCTCCAGGGTAAACAGATCTTCACCTCATGCCATGAAGACTTTTACCTAGCTAAGAATTACATTGAGAACATCATAATTTAGGAGCCCATGGGACCCAAATCTAAAAACTAGGAGTCTTTCCTGTGTGATCTCTTCCATTAGCTGTAAGATAGTCAGCAGTTCTTGTAAAGTACCAAAGGTGCTACACTGCTTTGAGCCATTCAGTCTGAGTGAGAAAGCAAAAATGGATGCCTGTGGATGTTGTCCACAGTAAGAACAGATGGGTCCTTGCAGTTACTGTTTCCCTTCTCCTTCCTGCAATATTGTTAGTAGTGAACTGCCACATGGCTGGAGGAGGAGGAAGTCTGTTGTTTTTCTTTATCAAAACCTTTTTTCTGATTTTTCTCCTGGAGATGTAAACTTTAGTTAGCCTTCTGGGGTTGAGAAAGACAAATTAGTGCTTTGATAGTTGATCTTTAACTTCTTGTCTCAATCTAGTTTAATAATGGTAAATCATGCAAAAACTCCTATCAAAAATCTCAAAACAACTGGCTGTGCTATCTTTTTTTCACAGTGATTTTGTTCTCCAACCAAGTGTGGTAATCAACACTGATTTTCTGCCATTAGGCTTATTTTGTTCTCCTAATAATCCCAGGAGTGCATTCAGCCAGCTTTCTTCCATATCCTTTTGAACAATCTTGCTACAGTTACGTGAGAACAATGTAGAGAAAGATAACATTTAATTAGCAGCTTCTGCTTATAAAAATAGCAAGAACTTTCCTGAGTACTGGAAGCTTTTAACTGTTGTTTCTGGTAAGACTCAACCCATTGGCATTTTGTATTTGGATCTTATTTAGGCTTCTGGCATCCTGTGGCAGCTTAGTTATGCTTTCTGTGGTAATAACTTGATGCCAACTAATTTTTCCTTGAGGAACAGGAATAAATTATCACAGTTTCTCTCTTTCCAGGCTGCTTTTGCTCTGAATAGGTAACATCCTCACTTGAAAAATGCTGAGCTACAGCTCAGTAAGTCGGAGGAGCAAGGTGCGGTCTACCTGGGAAAACATGCAAAGGGCTGGGAAAACAAAACTGGGCTGCCTTAGGACTCATTGATTGCAGTTCCTCTGGTTGGAAAACGATCTTCTATGTCATCTTTTGACTGGAAAATGATCTGTGTAATAAAGACCATCCATGTATGTGACAGCTGACCTTGAAAAGTGGGGGTGTAAGGAAACCAGACTCAAGTCATGAGACTCGCCTTACAAGCAAGTCTGTTTTGCTTTTAGTTTATGCCTGCTTTTTCTCCAGCCTGCATAGCTGCTAAGAAATTTCAAATTCTCACTGAACTCCTCGATTTAAAAGAAATAACAGATGTTGTGTAACTTGCAGTTGTATCACCATTATGGGTAATAATGGAAGTTGACTTTAGATGATCATCATTAAGTCAAGTTAAAAATTACTCAAGGACATCAAACTGTCCTGCTTTGTAGGGCTTGACAGTGACATTCTGTTCATCTTTTTGCTATAGAAAGAAAAAACAATAAGAGAAGTGGTTCTCACAAAGTTGGTACATCCAGAAAGTATTTTTAAAATACTTCTTAAAATTTTAAAAATGTCTTTCTTTAAGTTACAGTGAAAGCTAGGACATTTCATTAACTGTAACAGAAATACTCTGGGATAATACTGGGGATTGAACACAAATTTAGGTATAAATGATGAAAAGTCTATAGTTAGAAATAGCACAGGTAGGAGAGGTGACAGGGTCTCATAGAGCAAAGGTCAGTGCGGAGAGGTCTGAAGTAGCAGAAGCAGCAGGAAAAATTGCAAACAGAAGACTAACATGGAATGAGAACTTTTTTCATTGAAGAGTGGTCATGTGAAGGAACTGCTGAGATTGCCAAGGTAAACACTCTCCTGCAATTCAGTGGTGTGTCTGACCTTTCTCTGGAAACAAAACTGGGAATGTACAAGGGAGTGCACACCGGAAAGACTTTGGTGTTGAAGGAGGGTAGAAAATATTTAAGCATCTTGAAAGATCGCTGTGAAAGACTGGAGATGGCTGAAAAGTGGAAGTAAGCAACTGTGGTGTAGATTCTACCCAAAACCATGATGACCAGCTTAATCAAGCGATGATTAGGAAACAAGGATGCTGAAGCAAGCTTTGGGCTAGATACTGCCCTCACAGAGGAGGAGTAAAGTGGTCACTGACAGTCTTAGAAGAGAGGCACCAAAGAACACTAAAAAGGAAGGTTTTGGAGTGAAGCACAGTGGCCAACATGTGACTGACTGGTGGGAGTGTGTGTGATCGAACAGCTAAAATAAGGTTGGATTTGTCTTGTAGCTAACACATGCTTGCTTGCTTTCTGACCCAAATCCTTGAAGTCAGGTGCCTTTTCCAAAAATTCTACTCTGAAAGTCCACTGAATGGTGTGGATTTTTTTTTCCTACTGTGTATTTTCAAATACACTAGGTTGGCTCTTAAGCTTTACTTTCTGTGTTGTTCTAACCTCTCCTCTGTGTGTTTACTTCATTTCAATAATCTAACCTTCCTCTTACTTAGCAATATATTAAGCTTTAAAAATGTGTCGTCATTCCAGCTGGAGTTGGTGCTTGCTAAGGTGTCTGAGCATGGGCATCTGTGCTCTGGGCCTTTAACAGGTAACTGATTTGAGCAGGGAGTTTCAGAAAAGCTCTGCTAACACTCTTGGAGCACTTTACAAATGTAAGAATACGTATTCACAAACTATTCAAGAGTCAGAATCTAGAAGGATGTGCTCACATGTGCAGTTCAATAAGATCTTTCTCCCTGAACCTCTAGGTTGTAGCTGTTTGCTTTTCTGATACGACACATGCCTAGAGTGGGTGTGAAGATGTGCAAGTGAAGTCTGCTTGCTGTTTTTTCATAAACTACTGAAGGAACACAATTCTTTGGTCCCTGTAACAATTGTCATGAAGCATCAGCAGTGAACTGTGAAACCACCCTTATCTGCTGTGGAGCAACCTTCAGGAGGACATTGGGTTTTCAGCGTAGCGATAGCTTGAAGTAATGATTATAGACCACCAAACTTTGCTGTTTCTGATGATTTTCACAAGTCATTGGGTGCTGTGATGTCAGTTATCCATAATACCAGGGGTTTGAGTATATGTAAATAGCTCTGACGATGGAGATTGCCAGGCACCTCTCTTCTTTGGTGCTGAGGCACCTTTTTTGTGTTCTTGAGCTGAACTTTGGTCTTTTAAAGTCTCCCACAGGATAATGCAGTAGTGCCAATCTAAGCAACAGTTTGTAACTGATGAAAGCACTGGAATGCTTCTCTTGTCAGCGTGGTTCACAGCAGGGATTTTCTTTCACACAAAGGGCTGTTTCTGTAGTAGTTACTGTCTTGTATTTACTGAAAATTTTCAGTGCATTCCTCTAGTGCTAATGCAATTTGCAGACCAAACATGAGTGTATATCCACAGAGCTCTGCCAGTTGGCTAGCCATGCCTTTTGCTACACTCCACTGCACTTCTGAAAGCTAACGGGTAGGGTGATGTTTCCTGGTTTATTTCATATCATTTGGAAACATTTATTCCCTGGGAACAATGAGCTTCCCTTTTCTACCTACTACAGATTCTTTGATTTATTGTTTTTCCCTAGCTTGGGTGATAGATTTTGTTTTAATACAGTGGTCTATATTGACAGTGGACTCAGTCTTTTTTAGGTAACTTCATTTTTCAAAAGGAAATAATAGTATGGACTGTTCTCCTAGATTATGAAGAACCCTTTGAGCCCTTTCCTCACTTGAGTTTCCTCTGAAGTACTTATTTACATTAATCAAACTGTAGGAGTAATTTACTCTTTCACACACAAAAAGTTCAGTAACACAGCCCCATATCTCTTTATTATGGACCACACTGCGACCCTTGCAAGGAGTTAAACTGTAGTCATCACTGAAACTGTTGAAGTGTATATGAGGAGCAGCTCTGTTTCTACCCACCTGTCTGCATGTAAATGAGATTAGTGAAGTCATCTGGTGATCAGTCCAGGAGAAGGCTGGGTGATTTGTTTATGTTATATGGGGGTGATGTAAAATCCTGAAAGTACTAGAAGCCCTGGGAAGTCTCAGTTATAAATCCTGTAAATAGTCTGAACTACCTTTTGAGGGAACTAAATTAAAAATCCAGTTCTTCCTCAGATATACCTGCATTAAAAAAATTATACTAACAGAATTTGTACTTTAGACCTCCTTCTATCTGTTTTGTCCACAAGACCTACTCTAGCACAGGCCATGCATCTGTGTGTAGATGACCAGAAGGAGACATGTGCTGACTTTGCTGTAGTAGTGAGAATGCTCTTACTCCAGATCTGTGGGTCCCATTCCCACTGTGGGGAAAGCTGAACCAGCTCCTGCTGTCCAGATGACTACACATGAGCAGGACCTCTGTGCCCCTGTAGCCAAAGGTGAAGGCATTGGCTCTGACAAGTGGGGAGACTTGGGCAGGCATCTGAGCACTGCCAGACCTGAAATGCTTTGCCTTGGGGAAGATGTCTGGGTGCTCTGGGAACATTTAGTACCTCAGAAGGGTTGGTTGGCAGCTGAATGGGCCAGTGCTCCCCACGACTGAAGGGCACCTTTCCTCTTACCCTGTTGTCTGTGTTGAGAGACAGGAAAAAAGGAGCTGCTAGGAAGAGGCCAAGCCCACTGCATTGACCAAATGAAATAATTTATTTAACCCAAAACTTGATCAATTTAATTATGGAGAGAGGTTTTTCCATAACTTGTCATTTAGGTTTTATCTGCAAATAGAAACCATTCATTATATTCTAATTGCATCCCGGTGTTTTTCTTTGTCTCCAATGAAAATGGTCAGTGATTAATCCTAGACCTGTGGAGTAGCTCAGTCATTAGTATGTGCCTCTGGGGGACAGCAGGTAAAGGTGCTGCTTTCCTCTGTGGTGGGAACTGGGCACATTTCCATTTTTAGAACCTGAAATCTGGCAGTGATGCTCTCCTAGGTGTTAGGAAGTAGATAGGGGATGAAAATATCCAGCACCTTGTCTGTTTACTTTTTCTAATAAATTTTTGAATGTAATTTTTTTTGTAGAAAACAGAAAGCAGGACGATAAAATGACATCACTTGGAACTGAGGCATAAGTCATTGGCAGGCACCTTATTGATTATAGACTTTGGATACTGCGCTTGGGCGTGAACCCAAGCAAACCATGGGCAAAAAGAAAAGGAGAGCGGTTTATTTCCCTTGTAGGTCAGACACCCGTGGTGCTGGCTGCCAGGAGCTGTTTCCTACTATGCTGGTCTGTTGCTCAAAACATCGTCCTCCCAGTCTTCAGCAGCAAAGTAGTTAATAAATTTTTGGAGTGGGCAAAGGCTTGCAGTTATATAACAAAAGTACCCCATGGAGTGGCTTTGCTTTCCTTGTGCTTGAGTCTGTTAATAATCTGCAAGTTCACACTGATCCTCTAATCTGAATTTGGAACCGTAATGTGTCCCAGATTCTGGCCTTAATTTCCCTCATTCCTCTGTTTGCTGTGCCAAACACATAATTAGTTTGAAATCAATTTTGGCCATTTTGTATAATCCTTTCTGGAGAAGTATCACACTGGATTTAACAGCTATTGAGTGTTCTTCACCACTGCTCAGTTTTTGATTAAAGATCTGCACCTTGTGTCACTGCAGTCTTCTCTCTCTATTTTATACCAATTTCATCTCATGTTTGAGTTTGGCTCCATCATTATTCTTCTTTTAATAATAATTTTTATCTGACAAGTCCTGTTATTTCTCCATTCTTTTCTCTCTTTAATCTTGCCGTGCTTTCTTTTTCCTGACAGGGATTGGACAGAAAAAATCTGCTCAAAGGCACAGAACACCTGAGGTTAAGGCAAATTTTAAAGCAATACTTTCACTTCCTCAAAGGAGGCATTCACTGCATTGTAATAGGCACTGTGATAATGAATGAGCTGAGTGCTTTTCACTTGTGCTGTCCTATTGAGGCGGTGTCCTAAATCACAGCTCACTCCAGAAGGCTGTTTCTAGTTTAATCAAAAAAACCCAAAATAAATAAAAATAAAAAATTGTTTTATTTGCCTGACATTTCTGCCTTGAATTTGATATTCTGTACTCTGAGTGTGAAACTTGAGCAGACTCAGTGGAGGTGAGGGGGGAAATAAATCACACAGTGAGCATGGTTACTGCAGCACCGAGCTGTGTGAGATGGAAACAAGGCTGGAAGAAGAGTGCCCCAGGAGAACTGAGCGTGCCTGTAGGTACAGGTACTGCTGGGACAGTTATGAGGGGCTCAGTTCCCTCTTAACCACCGAGGCAGAAGTCAGGAGGACGTTAATGCTGGTGATTAAAGTGGATGAGCAGGGATGTTCCTTGTCCACACCAGCCTGGGGTCCAAAAGCCTGGTCTAGGTATCTTCCCTGCACTGCAGCATTACAGTTTTCATGTATTTCTTCCCTTTTTCCCTACCCCTCTGTAACCCAAGGTATTTTGAGGTCCACGCACCACAGTTCCTTCGTTTCTTTGCTTTCTGGCATAGGGGTTGGTGTCTCCTGTTGATTATGAGATCTCCCAAGTCCTCTGGCTGACTGATGTTGGCCCAGAACTTTGCAGGCCTGAAGGCACTGGAGGAGGGAGAGGGGACCAGCAGCTCCTCCAGTTAGACCGAGCTTATGGACCAATTTCCCTGATCCTTCAGCTGTGCCTTACTCCAAACAAGGTTTAGGCAGCCCTGTGAGGGCCAGCAGGGTACGGGCATGAACTGCAGCAACTGGAGGTGCCTCACACTTTTTTATGCCAACAACAAAAATACCTGCTTCTGCTAAAGTAGTGTGTGGGAGAGGTCAAACTGACAGCTTGAGTGCCTCTTGTCAGAGGTGACCATGGTTTTCAGTGTGATAACACAAACTCCTATAATATCATGTAAATTCAGGAACCCAAATGCAGTTGAAGCTGCAAATATGAACCAATGCATTCTCGCTTTATACAGGTGGGACCTGGAGAGGGGCTGAATTTGGTTCCCACCACCATATGAGCCAATAATTGCGTAGGTTCTTGAGCTCCAGATCAACATGTTTTCATGTTGGTTCAGCTAAGCCAAAGTGGGTGTGTTGTGGGAGGGCTGGTGTCCCTCTGAGCCTGGCACAGCTGGCAGTTTGGCTGGGGTGCAGAGAAGGACACAGACTGTCAGTTATGGAGTGTGTAGGTTC